AAAGCAGCAGAATGTAGATCCTTACTTGAGAAATGTGGCTTGGATTCCCCAAACCTGGTCGTCCACAACTTTCTCCTTGAAGCGTCCTCTCGACTTCTTCGGGGGTCATACAAATCAGTGTAGTAGCTGTGCTTCATTGTCGAAAAGCAAATTTCATCCATGAACCCAATGTCCTTTGCCGTCGCGTGCACAAAGCGGCAGCGACTTCCTCTTCGGCAGTCTCCTCTGGAGAAATCCCTGCACTTAACGGATTTCTTGACGCGATTGCGATCCAACCTCGGGAAAGGGAGACATAGAAGGAAACGGAAAGTAACAGAGAAAGAGAGAGGGATAGAAACAGTGGAGGAGCGAGAAACACAGGGCAATGCAGCACCAGGAAAAGATGAGAAAGCAAAGTCCATCAAGACATGTCACGTCAAGCGGGCAAACATTCAAAGGTTGTGCCAACGAGAAAATCTGTAAAGATTGTGTTAAGATGGAACAGCATCAGTAAATCACACATCCGTCCGTGCTGAACTGTGGGATGGGGGTCGTGAAGTTTCGACCGAGCTTCTGATTCCACGCCTTGTCATAGCGATTGTTAAACCTGCATCAAACAAGGAAAGCAAGGAAAAGATAAGTGACAGACAGAAAGGCAGACAGCAAGATTATGCGCAGCCCATGCTGGGAACGCCGAGTCGCAACCAATTCAATTAACGCAATGAACGCTAGAAAAAAAAACTATGGTTTTTATTGAAAGAAAGAAAGAAAGCAAGAAAGAAAGACACGCATCAGGATCTGGCATTCTTTCTGGCATTCTATCTGACATTCTATCTGGCATTCTATCTGGCATTCTTTCTGGCATACTATCTGGTATTCTATCTGGAAATCTATCTGGCATTCTATCTGACATTCTATTTGGAATTCTATCTGGCATTCTATCTGGGCATTCTTTCTGGCATTCTATCTGGCTATCTGGCATTCTATCTGACATTCTATTTGGAATTCTATCTGGCATTCTTTCTGGCATTCTTTCTGGCATTCTATCTGGCATTCTATCTTGCATTCTATCTTGCATTCTATCTGACATTCTATCTGACATTCTATCTGGCCTTGAGATCCGGCAGTGCCGACTGGGATGTGGAGCTCGCCGTTCAGGCCGGGTAGTGCCCACTGAGATCGAGAGCTCGCGGTTGAGGTCCGGCGTTGTTGACTGGGATCGGGAGCTCGCTGTTGAGGTCCGGCAGTGCCCACTGGGATCTGGAGCTCGCGGTTGAGGTCCGGCGTTGCCCACTGGGATCTGGAGCTCGCCGTTGTGGTCCGGCGTTGCCCACTGGGATCTGGAGCTCGCCGTTGAGGTCCGGCAGTGCCCACCCCCCTCCGTCCCCCCCGCGCAGCCATGGTAAAATCTAGTAACCCTCACCTGGCAGGTGGAGAAATAAGTCCAACGTTTCCGGTCATGGCAACAGGCCACATAAACTGAGAAAAGCCAAAAAAGAAATCAAAAGACTATCTTCCAGAACGAAAATATTGACAACAATCAGGTACACATGAAACCGTTACTTCTGATCTCACACACAATCCAAAGCACCCTTTTGAAACAAGGCTTCGCGATGTCGTCCCCTTCTTGCAGTCATCCTGCGGCAATGGCCTCGCAGAGCGATATGCTTGGAAATGGGAAAGATCACAGTTAAGTCCCACAAACAAGACGTGTGAGAAGGAGAGACCGAATACAGTTAATAGAGATGAAGCTGGAGTGGGTTCTCGGGTCCGGGGTCTGAATCGTGATCACACCAGGTCCAAAAAAAAATAGCGCAACAAGACCGCGACGGTATGTTTAATGGAACCCATTTCTTTGAGGGCGACATCTGACAGAACAGCTTCACCCATTTGCAGCAAGACCTACAGGTCTACCAAAAGAGACACGAACAAGTGAATACATGTCAATTGCAAACCCGTCGGAAACCAGGCACCGTCCACGAGATGAATCAGGAAGAATGCGCCTCAGCAGGACGAAGCGTGTGAATGCAACGGCAAACACAATGAAGACAAAACCATAAACCAATGACATGCCTCCTCAACCACAACCCTTGATGGCGAGAGCGAAAGAAACAGAAAGCACCCTATCTGTGGCCAAACCTAGCATAAGAAGTTACGAGTACTTTCCAGACACAGGTGTGGTTCACCAAAGCAAGAATCCTAAATCGAAGATTCATCATTGGTGACCTTTCTTCGAGTGATCCCCACCATGAATGTCATACAGATTTTGACATTCTTTCTGGCAAAACTTTCTGGCAGGGAAGAGGAGGAGAGGACAACTCTGATGAAATCTAGAGACCTTCACGGTTCGGGTTCCACGGTTCCACGGTTGAACCGTGGAAACGTGGGCCACGGTTCGAGCTCCACGGTTTCACGGTTTCCACGGTTGAGTTCCACGGTTCACGGTTGGAGAGTGCCCGGCTCCGCCCTTCTCTGCTTTTCATGCTTTTGCTTTTTTCTTGGATGTGCGTTTGGGCTGCCATCAAATATTAGCTGCAGAAACCAGGACATAGAAATAAGGATGAACATCATACACGTGTCAATACAATGACTGCCGCACAAGTTAAATTCGGCAATTTGTGGAGGGGACCCTTCTTTGAACTTCAAATTGCCTTTTTTAGTAAAGAAAGTTGTCAAAAACTGGTCCGTTTGGGAAACTATGTTTTTCTCAAATCCTGATCTAAAAGTTATTGACATATTACTTTTTTGTTTAAGGGTGTTTGCGTGTAATTTCTTCTCTTCCTCCTCATGCTTTTTCTGCTTTTGCTTTTTTCTTGGATATGTGTTTGGGCTGCCACTACTACGACGGCGACTACTACGACTAGTACTACTACTACTACTACTGCTGCTGCTGCTGCTACTGCTACTGCTACTGCTGCTGCTACTGCTACTTCTACTGCTACAACAACTATACTACTACGACTAGTACTACGACTAGTACTACTACTACTACTACTACTACTACTACTGGCCGGTCAGCCGGTCGGCCGGTCGGCCAACCGGGCCGGCCGGTCAGCCGGCCGGTCAGCCGGCCGGTCAGCCCGTACTACTACTAGTACTAGTACTAGCACTAGTACCACTAGTACTACTAGTACTACTAGCACTACTAGTACTACTGCTACTACTACTACTACTACTACTACCACCACTACCACTACCACCACTACCACCACTACTACCACTACCACTACCACTACCACTACCACTACCACTACCACTACCACTACCACTACCACTACCACCACCACCACCACCACTACTACTACTACTACTACTACTACTACTACTACTACTACTGGTACTGGTACTGGTACTGGTACTGGTACTGGTACTCGTACTCGTACTCGTACTCGTACTCGTACTACTACTACTACTACTACTACTACTACTACTTGAACCGTGGAACCGTGTGCCACGGTTCGGGCTCCACGGTTTCACAATTGAACCGTGCAACCGTGGGCCACGGTTTGGGCTCCACGGTTCGGGCTCCACGGTTTCACAGTTGAACCGTGGAACCGTACGCCCGTCCGCCACGGTTCAACCGTGGAACCGTACGCCGCGGTTCGGGCTCCACGGTTCCACGGTTGAACCGTGGAACCGTGTGTCACAGTTCGGGTTCCACGGTTCCACGGTTGAACCGTGGAAACGTGGGCCACGGTTCGAGCTCCACGGTTTCACGGTTTCCACGGTTGAGTTCCACGGTTCACGGTTGGAGAGTGCCCGGCTCCGCCCTTCTCTGCTTTTCATGCTTTTGCTTTTTTCTTGGATGTGCGTTTGGGCTGCCATCAAATATTAGCTGCAGAAACCAGGACATAGAAATAAGGATGAAACATCATACACGTGTCAATACAATGACTGCCGCACAAGTTAAATTCGGCAATTTCTGGAGGGGACCCTTCTTTGAACTTCAAATTGCCTTTTTTAGTAAAGAAAGTTGTCAAAAACTGGTCCGTTTGGGAAACTATGTTTTTCTCAAATCTAAAAGTTATTGACATATTACTTTTTTGTTTAAGGGTGTTTGCGTGTAATTTCTTCTCTTCCTCCTCATGCTTTTTCTGCTTTTGCTTTTTTCTTGGATATGTGTTTGGGCTGCCACTACTACGACGGCGACTACTACGACTAGTACTACTACTACTGCTGCTGCTGCTGCTACTGCTACTGCTACTGCTGCTGCTACTGCTACTTCTACTGCTACAACAACTATACTACTACGACTAGTACTACGACTAGTACTACTACTACTACTACTACTACTACTACTACTGGCCGGTCAGCCGGTCGGCCGGTCGGCCAACCGGGCCGGCCGGTCAGCCGGCCGGTCAGCCGGCCGGTCAGCCGGCCAGCCGGTTGGCCGGTCGGTCAACCGGTTGGCCGGCCGGCCAGCCGGTTGGCCGGTCGGTCGGCGGTTGGCCGGTCAGCCGGTCGGCCGGTCGGCCGGTCGGCCAACCGGGCCGGTTGGTCGGCCGGCCGGTCAGCCGGCCGCCCGGTTGGCCGGTCGGTCAGCCGGTTGGCCGGTCGGTCGGCGGTTGGCCGGTCAGCCGGTTGGCCGGTCGGCCAACCGGGCCCGGTCAACCAGGCCGGTCAGCCCGGTTGCCCGGTCACCGGTCAAAACCCCCCTGGTACCGCCCTTCTGGTCATATCCCCATATCAAACATTATCAAACTATTCAATTTATATATGTGTTTATATGTTATGTCAATTTATGTCAATTTCACCGAAAAACTCACCATCAACTTCCGAATTAGGACTCGACTCAGTGCGTTCCTCCTTGCCATGGCAAAATCATCCTGTGTCACCACCTTGCGATGGCCTGGGTGTCGCACCCTCTTTTCAGGCACCAGCTCTGCCTCCAAAGCGCAGCGTTCGCAACTGCCTCAGCGAACAATCCGTGCCTACTGCAATCATAGGCAAGCTGTAAGTCCCCCGGCTTTACTCGGAAAATCATCGAACTAAAATGCGGGAGTTTCCAGATTTTCCAGTCATCAGAAGTCTATGTTTGACAAAGTCAGGTCGTTCACAACAGAAAACAACAAACCTGGAGGAAACATGCCTAAGACTTGGATGGGTCCATTTGTTCCACTAATCCCAACATCGCCGAAATCTGTCGCCCAGGCACAAGAGAACTGAAATGTGCCAGACAGGCGCTGGCGTCGCACATGTCGCGGCCTCATCAAGGCCATCAATTTTAGTCATTGGAACAACTTTGAGTCGGTATGCTGAACTGGGTCCATGACTGGAAGGGGGAAACATACCTCAGTCGTTCAGCATTTTTCCAAGTCCTTCAGACATTCCTTGCACAAGTCCCTTTTTCTGAGCCCAGGACGACATCAACAACTCCTGTCCAAACAGAAATGACCCTCTGGACCCTCTGGACCCTCTGGACCCTCTGGTACTCAAACATGGCTGGTTCGATGATTTTCCCAGCTAGTGAGGTTCCCAGCCATGGTATATGCCAAGGCATCAGCAGCTGCTGCACCTCTCCGGCTGCGATGGGCCGTGCTGCCCTCAGGATCAAGAAATCACCGAGAAAGTGCTCCTGCACCTGAGCCAAGGATGGCCGATGGGAGATGGGAAATGAACCATGCAAGTTTGCAAATGATCTTGAGCCATATCCATCTGTTCACATGTACACCGGGGTTGGCACTGGGAGGAAAAAAATACGAAGTACATGCAGCCCAAGCCAAAGATCTTGCAAACTTTGAGGACCATCTGTTGAGCCATCTTTGGGAGGTAGAACCAAGGCTCCGACGTTCGGGAGGCAAGAATGGTTGATCAAACTGCATAGAGGCCACACCCCACACCTGGCTTTCAGGGAGTCAAATGGTTTGGAAGCGTCTCGTGGAAAAGTAATTCACAACAGACCGGTGTCAGTCAGATTAACCAAGCTGGCTCAGGGCGCAACAAAGCTGCTTCTTCTGCAAAACCTTGCCCATTCAGAGAATCCCTTGCCAGGCTATTGAATTGCAAGACCTCGGCTGTCAGAAACTTTGATGCTCCAAAGTTTGACCATTTCGTATCGGATCAACTTCCCGGACCAACCTTAGGGCACCAGGCCTTCGCCACTTTCTTGGCGTCCACGGACCTCTGATGTTGCACTGTCCTGTCGATTAGCCAAGCAGCTGAGAGCTTGCAGGAACTTGTGGCGTTCCATGTTGTTGATGCCAAAAATGCATGTCTTGATCAGCAAAACGGATGCGGTGTGTCCATCAAATACGATGGCGTTCCCTCCCAACAGGAGGTTCCAAATTCGACCCCACAACCGACGGGTAGGATCAAGAATTTCACTCCTGCAAGAATTATATAGACATTCAACGCAAAAAATGACCGAAACCATCTGTAGTTGACAGCACCAAAAAAAAAAGTTTGAGATCAAATCTCGCAATTCAACTTGGCTGAATTTCATGAAATTCCCTGGATCCTAAAGTTTTTAACTCTCCACAATCCCATTCTCATGGTTTCCAGCCTTGGACCACGCGTCCAACTCTGCAACTTCATTTCCTGGATGTGCATGGATCACGGGGGTGAACGCAACATCAAGAAGTCATGCCTAAGTCATGCCTTTTGGTCTTCCCCCATTGTGAACGCAAGCGTCAAAATAACCCTTTCCAAATCAGAACCTTTCACTTTCACCCGTTTTTCTCTTCCCTGTGCTTTGTACAGTAGGTCATATCTAAGTGTGGTGGTGGTGCCGCCATGTTTTTTGTGTTGGCTCTACCTTCTACACCGAATCTTTAGACATTCGAACTCGGCTGAGAAGCCAGCGGTTTCTGTGACGAATCTCGTGCCATCAGACCCTGCAGGGCTGGTGATCCGTGTCCTCATCAAGACACCATCCAGGCATCTATGAAAAATGTTGGCAATCTCCAAGCCATTGGATATGTACAAAAAATGGAGATATTAATGGGGAACATTGAAATTCAATCAGTGCCTATCACAGTTTAAGTTGTTGCTTCACGTCCCCAGCTTTGGTTTTATCCCTAGCCCCATCTTTCATTGGTGAGCATCTGTATTTTTGCTGGCCTACATGCCCCGAGTCAGTGAAATATGTTCCAACGCCCTGCATGCTTTAATTTTGGTGAAACCCGACGGCCTTGCAAAGACATGAAGCGGTTGAAATCCTCCTGTGGCTGAAGCCAAATGATCAAACTGCTGAAACGCCATGAAGTCAATCCAAATTGGATTTGGTACCAGTTTTCAAGACATTTTCAGATGGGAGAGATCTCAAACTCTATATTGGCTCCCTGATCCTCACATTGACCACTGGTGAATTCTGTAGAATATGGCTGATATGGGCATCAACACCATGGTCCCCTAACAGACAAAAAGCGGGTGAATCCAACCGTCCTCTGGAACGGATCGCAGCTTCTTGACGGTTGCTTCCTGCAAACCAGATGCTGACCCAATCACGAAGGGCTCGCACCTCGCCGAGGGCCCATCTTGTGGCGTCTATGAAGCATACAACCTTGTCGGTAACCTTGTCCTAACAAGTTCCAAGATTTATAAGTTCATGCATATATCTATGCATGGAACGCATGGATCTGCACAATTTTGCAGACGTGCGGAACGTGCAAGCTAAGGAAAGTATGGATGCATGGAACAATGGGTGTCAGGAACCATAGGCGCATGCATGGACGCATGAACATCTGGATGCAGCATGGAGCTAGAGATGTCTACGATGCACAAAACCATGGACACATGGAACATCATGGAACTATGGATGCATAGGATGCATGAAATTATGGGCCAAAACATGAAAGACGTGCTAAAAACTGGATGGTTTTCTATGGTTTCCCAAGATGTTCCTCAAACAAGCTCCGACCAGGCGCGATCCCCCCGGTTGAGGGCACACGAAAAGGATCTCCCCTTCTTTGGCTGAGGCCGAAAGGAACAACCTCAACGAGTGGTTGTTATATATGGACCAGCTACCCTCTGGTAATTTAAGATAGCTATTGAAAATGACCATTTATAGTATATAGTGAATTTTCCCATTAAAAATTGTAATTTTCCATAGTTATGTTAGTTTACCAGAGGGTATATGCAGCTATTTGATGAAATCCATTTGGGTAGGTGGTTGGACTTGTGACTTATGTGTAGGGCATCTGCTCACTTCAAAACATATTCTCAGTGGTTCTTCCTCTACTATCTGTTGGTCTTGGGTAGTGGACCCTACTTGCAACTATCATAGGCCCAGGCCCACTATTGCAGGAATCAAACGATGTTTCTGTAGTAAATTCATCATTGGAAGGTGCTTTGATTCTTCTGTGGTGGTCATGTGGGATTTTTGGTTGTGGGTCAAAACCCTCATACCCTAGTGACCATCCCAACAATGCAGAAACTAGACCAGTCATATGCAGGTTTCCATCAATGAAGGGACCCAATCATCCAAGTCATCAGACCATTTTAGTAGTTTTAGACGCAACGCCCACCATTTGCCCCACAGTTTACATGGGGTGGGTTGGAATGGAGTGGGGTGGGGATGTTAACGTTCCCTCGACCATGTTCCCTCGACCATGCACAAGATGTTGATGCTACGCTCATATGGGGTGCATGGGGTGGGGTGGGGATGTTAACGTTCCTTCGACCACGTTCCCTCGACCTTGCGCAAGATGTTGATGCTACGATCACATTGGGTGGGGTGGGGATGTTATAACGTTCCTTCGACCACGTTCCCTCGACTTTTCGCAAGATGTTGATGCTACGCTCACATAGGGTGGGGTGGGGTGGGGGGATGCTAACGTTCACCCGGCTTTGCACAAGACTTTGATGCTGCATCAGTGGTGTGGGGTGGGACGGGGCGATGATAACGCTCATTCGACCTTGCGCAAGACTTTGATGCTGCGCCCAAGATGATCTAATTGTCATGGTTTAAGGTGGGGTGGGGTGAGGTGGGTGCATTTTGCAGCAATTTGCTAGGATTCTGTTAGAGCTGTTCGTTCTCACAAGATTGCGGGAACTGTGCATTTTGCAACGGTTTGTTAGGATTCTGTTTGAACTGTTGGTGCAACCAAAAGTGCTGGAACTGCGCATTTTGAACTGATCATACCAATATTGTTGTTGTTGTTGTTGTTGTTGTTGTTGTTGCTGTTGCTGTTCTTGTTCTTGTTCTTGTTCTTGTTGCTGTTGCTGTTGCTGTTGTTGTTGCTGTTGTTGTTGTTGTTGGTGGTGGTGGTGGTGGTGGTGGTGTTGGTGGTGTTGGTGTTGTTGGTGTTGTTGGTGTTGTTGGTGTTGTTGTTGTTGTTGTTGTTGTTGGTGGTGGTGGTGGTGGTGTTGTTGCTGCTGTTGTTGCTGCTGCTGCTGATAATGCTGATAATGCTGATAATGCTGATGATGATGATGATGATGATGATGATCCCGTCGTCGAACTCTTCCAGAAGCGGGGCAAATGGTGGGAGTTGATCGTAATTTTACTATTGAAACCCATGGTGACTTGGGGATTCCCCATGACTTAAGAACCCCCCGGGTGCAGCTGCGAAACCCTCGCCCTCTGTCAGTGTCTCGCAGCTCCAAACGTTCGGAGACCCAGGGCTGGACCTACCCCAAAAGGCCATCGTGGGGGCGAAGTTGGCTGTCCAGAATAATCATCTTAAACCATGGTTTATTAGTTAGGGGAACCCTCCAAATGGTGATAGTATATGATAATGTGATACTTCATTGGATCAATATAACAATAATGATTCATCCAGGGTTGAAATGAAGTCTGAATTAGATCAACAACTACCAGTATGGTAGCCGCTACACCAAAACTGTCGCCGTGAAATGACAATATCGAAAAGCAACAAAGAAAAGGTCAAGATCCTCACACTTCATGCGTTGCATTTATCTTGTTTGTTGCTGCGAATATCCCCTTGAACCAGGACGTTTACCCAACCCCTGGCCAACTGAAGCGCCCCAAATGGGTCCTCGGGTGGCTCTGGAAGGCTCTCGCCAGCTCCAATCCACTGCGAGCGTGCAAGGTTGGTGGCTCAGGAAGAGGTCTATGTCTGTGCTTGCAGATCCCACAATTCGGACCCCTTCCGAGCGTGAATGTCCATGTTGAAAGGTCAATCTTTTAGTGTCCATCCAAGCCAGCGAAAACCAGGGGTTCGTCGTGTATCCCCTTTCTTTTAGCATCGGTGTACCTCTCGCTCGTAGCACGGCGACAAACATTTCAAATCTGGGCTCTCCATAGTGCGGCACAATGTTGCGAATCCCAACAAAAATATGTAGGTTTCTCCAAAAATGATGGATCACTGAGTATCCTAAAATGGCTACATGCAGAACATGCAGAAATTCTATGGTAAATCAAATCATGGGACTTTGTACCCGATTTTCAGAGAAACTTCTTGTGCCATGAGTCTTCTGCTGAACAAACTTTCTGAGTCTTTCAACAGGCTCTCTTGAGAAGAAAGCAAAAATGGGCAGCGGAGAAGAACGCCAAATTCAGAAGCTGCAAATGTAATGACTCGTCTCAGACTCGTCTCTATCAGAAATATTCAGAATGCCATCTACCTACAGCTTCATCAGATCCCTCTGGTCGTCAAAGAAGTCACGCACTCTCTGGCTCCAAAGAGCACAGCTTCTGCCGCGGCAACTTTTGCGCCAAAGTTGGCTGCTGCCCTCTTTGTCCAGCTTGAGATGCCAATGCCTTTCCGGTCGTGACTCTGCTCGAATTTGGCGCCCGCAAATCAAAAGGTGGTCGTTATGTCCAGCGCCGAAATCCACTTTGCTGCCGGACAGATGCCACGGAACATTCTGGTGTTGTTTGCTCGTGGAGCCAACACCCAGGGGCGCCTGCCCCGAACAAGACAACACCCTTGCCGGTGGGTCAAGATGTGATGCAGATCGCAGCATTGGAGACCTAGAAACTTCTGCACTGAAAACGAACCAATGTTGCCATGTTGCATGGCTTTGGCCTGCTGATAGTGATTTTTCTTTGCCATTTCCTTGATCCCACTCCAAGGAGTGTAGCCTCTCGCCATTGACTCGGTCGATGACGCATGGATCTCAGAGGGTCCTGGGAGGTGACACAAATCTGATCTGTACTTCGCTCTCGAAAATCCAAATTTCTGCCGGTCAGCGCCAGTGGGCACGTCTGCAGCTGTCTGTAAGTCTGAAAATTCTTTAAGCCATACTGCCATACAGCATGATGAAGTTTTAGGTCCCAAAACACATGCCCACCTCGGTTGGGGGTCCGGAAGTGGCCCCCATCCTTTGATGAGACCAGGAGGGAGTCCTGGGTATGGCGCCCTAAGACACCCTGGTGTGACTGGGTTTCCTTAGGAATATCGCCATACCCTGTTGAAATCTCCTTAAATTCGAGAGTCGTCGCACGTGTTTTTCCAGCTAAGATACTTTTGCTCCAGCTGACATCATGCACCACCGGAAGCATAAAGTCATCAGAGGATACAAAAAGCTGAGAAGTATGGTGCCAACAGTTTCGTTCCAAAATTTGAGTTAGACGATTAGACACAAATGTGAACTTCTTTGGCCCGAGGTGTGATGGACCAGATCTTGGGATGAGTAAGACTCAACCGTGCAAGGCGCAGCAAGGCGCAGGCCGAGGTCAGCCCCCAGTGTTTCCCCAACAACACTCACAAGTTGGCAGGTTGCAACAGCCACATTTCAGAAACACCAGAAACACATAGAAACACCCCAATCAGCAGATCTTTGGGGCCCCTCGTTTTGTCGGGTTGAATCTGGAAAGCATCACACTTTCCAGGCCATGCATTCGGGAGACCACAACTCAGTTGCACATCACTGCTCACCGAGTTGTCCGAGTTCAGAAATGGGTCAGAAAGCCAACCGTGGAGGTTGTATGGTGACCTCGCTGCCAAACTTTCCGAACAAAATCCAGCGGTTTTCCAGTGAAATTTCCAGCATGGGGGCCATGGGCTGCCAGTAAGACCCCAGACTCCAGTTGGTTCCTCCACTGTGATGACTGGACCTTACCAGGGCGCATTCAGGACTGAATCAGGTTTGATACGGTCAGAGAACTGCATTGGCAGAGGATATTGAATTGCAACTATTGAAGTTGTGTTTTTTTCTTGCATATTCCGTAGTCGCCGTAGTCTCATCTCGTGTAAATGAATGTTGCCAATAGAAGTTTGCAAACAAGTTGGCACTCGAAAAATCCAACAACTGGGAAAGCATCCTGGTTGGTCAAAAACCTGGTACCATCGTGAAAAGAAAATCGCAAATGTCAATGGATGTGCCTCCCACCATGTTTGGCATTGGTCAAATCATTCTGGGAAACCATCCGATTCTGGGAGCTGATTCCAAATTCCACAAAAAACGTGGGAAATTTTACAGGAAACATCAGGAAACGCTCCTTTCTGGGAGCTTCAAAGCCGGCATTTCCCGCAAGCACCAAGCACCCGGCCCGTCATCTTCTGGCTCCCGGCCGCTCCATTCGGGGGAATGGGCGTCCTGTCAGTGGGGATAGTGGTGGCTCAGAGGAAGATAAATATCCCATGGCCCATAGGCACAATGGGGTGAATAGTAGTTTTATAGATATGTGTGTTCTCTGCCATAACAACCCATAGGGATATATTTGTATGTCCATGTATCATTTATCCCATAGTTTTTATTTGGCCCAACAAACAATGGAGATCATTGGAGGTCTTGGATCAAGAACAATAAGTGGAGATACACAAACTATTTCTGGGGAGGCTCATGTGAGACTCTGGAAACTGATGCTTGAACGTTCATGCTGAAAATGACCAGCTTTGCTGGTGCATCGGAACCCCTATTTTGGCCAATACCAAACTGGTCGCTAGCTTCCCAAGCTGCCAGAAGTCTGTTCCATGGGGTCAAACGCTCAAACTAGATGGACAGGATGCCAGCTGCTGCAAATTCCACACCGGCGAATCAAACCAATGTGGTAAAACTAAGGCCATAAACACCCAATTTTTGATGGTTAATACTCATCCATTGTTGGTAAAATTGTCAGGACGGTTTATGACATTGGGTATACCACATTTTACTCAAAAAGTTGATAGGGGAAACCCTACTCTGTTGAAGTGGGACCCATTTGGAGATTCTCTAAGGAAACCGGTGGAACGTGGAAAGCCCCGCGTTCAAGTCCTGCAAGGATGCTCTGAACTCCATGTCCAACTTGTCACGACCTGAATCCAGTGTCCAAGTTCCACATGCCACTAATGTGGTAAAGCCGGGGCCATAAACCATCCCCGATTTCACGCAATTGGAGGGTTACTGTTGGGTTTACCACACTATCAACATAGTCTAGAACAATAAAGTGAACAAACACGTCCAGCCCTTGGTTCCCTGATTGTTGAAAAGCCAGCAATCGCTCGGGCTCTTGGAACCTGCACCAAGCAAATTCCGCCTGACGGAGACACCTACCCTCTGGTGATATATCCATGGCACCATGGGTGCAGCTTGGTCACCCCTGACCGCCACATAAACAGCTCGTCTCTACAGGGCTGCCTTCTTCAAAACAGCTATGCACGATCAAGATCCGGAAAAAAAAGGAAATGGACAAGATAGATGGCATAGATTAGATAGATGAGATAGAACAGAAAAGACAAGATCAGATAAGATAAAGTAGAATAAGACAAGGCAAGAAAAGACGGGTAGATAGGATGGATAGATGGATAGATGGATAGATAGATAGATAGATAGATAGAAAGATAGATACATAGATACATAAATAGATGGATGGATAGATGGATAGATGGATGGATGGATAGGTGGGTGGTGGGTGGACAGATGGATAGATGGATGGATAGATAGATAGATAGATAGGATTGGATTAGATTAGATTAGGTTAGATTAAGATAAGAAAAGATTAAGATTAAGATTAAGATAAGATCAGATAAACTAAGATCAGATACAGTAGATGTTAAAAGATGAAAAAAAACTGAATATAGAATAGATAAACTAGATAAGATAGATCAGATAGATAAGATAGACTAAATAGATAAGATAGACTAAATAGATAAAATACCCGGCGGACCTGGCACCGGCCCATGATTGTCCAAAAATTGTTGTTTCGCTGTGGCGCCAGCGCGATTTCATGTGGCAAACGACCATCAAAAAAAACATCCGCTTTACTGTGGCTTGCAACCCTTGCAGGGTTTTGTGCTGCAAAACCCGACGAACGAACAAAGTGGCCTTTTCTCTTCACCGCATGAGAGATCTTACAGCTTCGCCAGTTGCGGTCAGCAAGTCGAAGCCAGTGTGTTCCCATCTCCATTGTTGACTTCGAATGTACTTGAACAACAAACCATTGCGTTTGCCTTGTGTTTACCCCATGCGTAGCGTAGCATCACATCATGTCTTGCAGTACTGACGAATGATATCACGCCCCACCCCACCCCACCCCACCCCATGCGTAGCGTAGCATCGCATCATGTCTTGCAGTAATGACGAATGATATCACACCCCACCCCACCCCACCCCATGCGTAGCGTAGCATCGCATCATGTCTTGCAGTACTGACGAATGATATCACACCCCACCCCACCCCACTCCATGCGTAGCGTCGCATCTCATCATGTCTTGCAGTACTGACGAATGATATCACAACCCATCCCACCCCACCCCATGCGTAGCGTAGCATCGCATCATGTCTTGCAGTACTGACGAATGATATCACCCCACCCCACCCCATGCGTAGCGTAGCATCGCATCATGTCTTGCAGTACTGACGAATGATATCACACCCCACCCCCCCTAACCCCATTTGTGGGCCGGTAAAAGGTCCGTCTCATAAAATAGATAAGAGATAAGATAGATAAGAAAGAAAGAAAGAAAGAAAAAAAAAAAAAAGAGAGAGAGAGAGAGGTAGATAGGTAGATAGGTAGATAGATGGGTAGATAGATAGAGTAGAGGTAGATAGATAGATAGATAGGTAGATAGAGATAGAGAGATAGAGAGATAGAGAGATAGAGAGATAGAGAGATAGAGAGATAGAGAGATAGAGAGATAGAGAGATAGAGAGATAGAGAGATAGAGAGATAGAGAGATAGACAGATAGTTAGATAGGTAGATAGATCAATCGATCGATAGATTGATAAATCGATAGATCGATAGATGGATAGATGAATAGATGCACAGATGGACAGATGGACAGAAGGACAGAAGGACAGACAGATGGACAGATGGATAGATGGGTAGATAGATGAGTAGATATATATATATATATATACGTATATATATATATGCATGCACGCACGCACGCACGCATGCATGCATGCATGTGTGTGTGTGTCTGTGTGTCTGTGTGTCTGTGTATGTATGTATGTATGTATGTATGTATGTATGTATGTATGTATGTATGTATGTATGTATGTATGTATGCATGTATGCATGCATGCATGCATGCATGGATGCATGCATGCATGCATGGATGGATGGTATGGTATGGTATGATATGATATGGTATGGAATGTATGGAATGTATGGAATGTATGGAATGTATGGAATGTATGGAATGTATGGAATGTATGGAATGTATGGAATGTATGGAATGTATGAATGTATGAATGTATGAATGTATGAATGTATGGATTGTATGGAATGTATGGAATGTATGGAATGTATGGAATGTATGAATGTATGTATGAATGTATGAATGTATGTTGTATGTTGTATGTATGTGTATGTATGTGTATGTATGTGCACGTATGTATTATGTATGTATGTACATATATATTAATATATATATAGGTAAATGTCAGTAGTTCACAGCAAAATAGATGGTAAGCTGCTAGCTGGGAAAAAATCTGCCAGGTATTCCCTCAGCTTGCGACGGAACAAAATCTCAACAAGAGTTGTCCGAATGATCTTGGGCTGCTCGCGCACCTTAAAAAATCACCAGAGGAAATAATATCAGTTTCTCAAGTAAAGTTGATGGATGTCAAATGACTTAATACCAAAAATTGGTTTTAAGGTAACCATCAATCATTGAGAATTGAGACTTAATCACAAAAATATATCATGAAGCATTACCAGTCGGAACATCACCAACAGAAATAAGCAGGAATCCCAATTGTTCCTTGCACAGGCTGAAAGTAGAACTTGAAATGGACCATGTTGGGATCAGTAGAGCCATGGGTAGTGGCACTTTTTTCTCAGGACCGGGCATCGTTGAACTTTGAATCAGAGATGATCCAAATGCTCCCAGGCTCAAAAGGCAGAGTCACCAAGCGATTGGCGATGCTGTCCTGTCCAGCAACCAATCCAAACCCAACAAACTATTTTCATGGATCAGGATTGAACCTTTAAGCACAATTTGACTTTGTTGGCTCTAAGTCACAAAGCCAATGCTAGATGCTTGAGGACTCAAGTATTAAGGCAAAAAGAAGGTAAAGGCCAAGAATTGCAACTGAAATCACTACAAAATACCAACAATCAAGCGTTCACATCATACTTTTTTGGCAGGAATACATCCCAAGCACTACATCCCCCATGCAGCACCAAGCCCAACGTTTCAACGTGAACCGCTCCTCCCATTGAATCGAAGGTCCGCAGTCTTTCAACTGCCGACGATCCTCGGAAACCGCGATAAACCCAGCAAATCCCAGCAGTACACCCAATTTTGGGTGGCTTATGTGTGTATATATATATATTTATTTATTTATTTATTTATTCATTTATTTGTTTACTTATTTATGTACTGTAATTATATATATATCTATACAACGTATGTCCGGTAAAGATGTGGGTTATGATTGGGTTTATTAAATGCTTATTTTTCACATCAAAATCAAGCTTTGAAACTGTCAACGTTGGCGCCTTCACGAACTTGTACTCGATGTGGATCAACTGCTGAGGATTGGTATCCGCTTCTCCACCTGAGGCTTCAACCGGTGTGCACCAACAGCTCCACCATAGAAACTGAGCACTGGACTATCACCACTAGACACCACTTCCGGCTCTTCTGGTATCACAGAAGCATCCCTGACCTTGGTTATAAATGATGTCTCAAATGATATAAATGGTGCAACCAGGGTTCCACGGTAGGGGTGCTGCACAGAAAAATCAAAAATTGGCTCACATGTTTGGGGGAAGTCTGAAGGAAACCATGGTCTTTGCACTGAAAAAAGAGGAAATCCCGGAAATCCCGTATTTTTCAAATCATCCACTCATATCACATATCTCTCTCAAAGTGAAGCAAGCTGAAGCGCTCGTTTTGCCGAGTTCCCCTGCAATTCGTGGGCTTGCGATGGAGTGGCCAGGAGTGTCTAAATCCTGGCAACAAAAAGGAAATCTCAGGATCATCTGCAGCACCCTCCAAACCCTTTATGGGGAAAACATCATGGAACTGTCATCCTGGGAATGACTAACCCAATCGGCCTGGGAACGGCAAAGTGAGGCAGAAGAATCGCTGGTCCCCGGCCTCAAGTTTCACTGTGCCGCACTAAACTGGGGCCAGGTTTCACTCTTGAAACAGACCCTAGGTCACTAGGGGGATACCTCCGTTTATGGCAGTTTCAACGGGGAAAATGATGACAAACTCTTAGATATTTCGGGATACCCTAGTTCCAAAGAATTCCAACACGCTCGTCACGAGGGCTGAGTGCCAGGCGAGACCCACACTGGTGCCAGCCTCAGCTCAGGCATCTGCTCAGTTGGAGACCACGACTACATCGCTAACATCACCCAGTGCCCAACATCGCCCAGCAGGGATACAATGAAGCACCTGTGCGAAGCTGCCTCGGGTGGCGAAAGTTCAAGGCTTGTCCTTTTTTTCAGACAAAGAATGGAGAACCTACGGTCTAAAATTATAGAGTTGAGTTTTGAAACATCATTTTCCAAACGCGGGTTTCTCCCCATGGTTTTTCCACATCGTTTAACGCGAATTTTGCACCGAGGATGGGGCAAACCAGATGTGTAGCAATCCCAAGCACCAAGCCTTCGAAAAAAGAGCTGGACGGAAGCGAACTGCCACGCCAGGGTGGAATCGTCGGGGACATGAAACTGGGGGTAAGTGGCAATGCCTCCGATGTAACATGTTGTGACTATCCAAAAATACGATTTTAACATATTTAAACCATGAAATATGGAGATTTACCCCATGATACAGTCTTGAACGCCCATGACCACGCCGCATCTCCGTTGACCCCTTCGCTTGCGCGCAGCTCGACGTCCCATGGGTTCCCAGACTCTCCACGGGCTCCAACGACTGTCACCATCTCCCCTGGCCTTTGCATCATTGGACATGATCAAACCATGGACAGTTTGATCATGTCCCTATTTCGTAGCAATATGTAGCAATAGTAATGGTGAAAACATGGTTCCACCATCATATCTCCATCATGAAAAAATTGATGCCAATAGCAATGATAACGCCATCGTATAGTGTCATCATGGCATTTTCATGCATTCTCTACACTTAGAATGAGAATGGCTATCAGCGATGATGACACTAATTAAATATTTATGACTAGTATCACAATCCTTCACTATGGTTTTTTGTAGGTTTCTTGATGGTCAAATACCCGTTCTTGGTTCCCATGTCTCCTTCGGCGTATCTTGCCTTATTCCCATGGCCGAATCGGGAACCAGGAATCGGGAACCAAGGACCGTTTTGTTGGCCCCCACCAACACTTCAGAAAGGGAAAACCATGGAAAACCACAATCAATGTAGGCAAATTGAAAACTCGCTACAACTATATATATATAATTATATATATATACACGTTCCATTTCCGGCTCCTAAGCAAAATTGTCGTCGCTGATTCGGGAAATCTGGTGGCGACAAAATGCACAGCTTCAGCACCACTGCTGACATTCATGTGATTGAACACCAGTACAGGTAAGAGTGGGGGGATATCACAACCACAACAATCACAACAACCAGCACAACAACAACAAGAAGAAGAAGAAAAAGAAGAAGAACAAGAACAAGATCAAGAACAAGAAGGAGAAGAAGAAGAAGAACCACTACAATTACTACAATGGAATAGAGGTGGATATGGCAACTGATCATTTCATATGTAAGAACACATTTGAAAGTCAAGACAAGTTTGCCCAAAAACAGGGTATCCCAAAATCCAATGGCTAATCGCAAATTTCCTGTGAAAATGACAATAAATAAGGTATTCCCAATTATGGACACACTCAAATACAGACGTTATGATATTGTTGATCATAAAGCTATACATACATATAGATATATACATACATATATATATATATGTTCCATTAAGTCGCCAGTACTATGTGTTTTATACCCGCCAAGTTCATTGCTAATCCAGTTTTGGAGTTTCAGTTTTGTGACCCCTTGGTTCAGACTCACGAGCCTCGTATCTGCATGTCGCAGCTCAAATAGCACTCCGATACGGCCCATCTCGCCTCAGTGCTGCGGCACTGGTGGGGAGCTCCCATATCGAATGGATACATGCATAAGAGTATGTGTATATATATATATATATGTGTATTATGAATATTTAACTGCTCTGTGTAGGTATATACAGAGTGTGTGTGTGTGTATACATAAATAAATAAATAAATAAATAAATATATATATATATGATCACTCAGCATCACATACTGTAATCCCCAAGCATGAACTGGGCATTGCTTCAGGTTTTCTCCCTCTGAATGGTGCACCGTAAGAAGAAGCTACCAATGAAATAAAGACACCAGCAAATCTCGGACCAAATTTTGAGCCGAGACTGGAACCATTTCGAGATATGTACCTCAGCTGCCTCAGTTTCCAACTGTTAGCATGTGTTTGTTCACCATGTCCTGTGTCCAAGAACAGCACTTTCACGGGCTGCCCCACAACTTACCAGGTGTCCTGGAGAGTCCAAAAAGCACGGTGTGGCGGTGTCCTTTTTCCTCACAGCTTTTTGAGTGTCACACCAAGCTTTATGTTTGGGTTCGCACTGCAGGTCAAGCCACGGTCAAGCGATGTCAAGCCCGCGCTTCACTCCACTTTGAGAGCGAAGGACATTAGCTGATGCCAATGGTTTCGGCTGCACTTATCAAGCGCCCTTGCGTAACCTCAGTGTCCACAGGCACGGGGCAAACTGCAAGGAGTCTCATACGAGTTTGTCTAAAATATGGCACGCCAAAATCCAGTGGTTTGTCATCATTTTTCCCATATGGTTATTTGGGCGCATACCGCATTTTCAGACAAAGCCCTTCATAACCTCCAATATATCAATATATATATACCCTCCGGTACTTAGGCACATGGCTGCTATAGCTTAGAAAATCCCACAGCAATTCGATGATTGTCCCAGTGAAACCCTCCATGGCTAGGTCCAGAATTTCACAGCGATGATGACATTAGGGTCCTCATTCGCGTTCGCTGAGTTCCCAGCTTTTGAACTTCCATTCGTAGTTCGTGCAAATGCGCCTAAACTACGAATAGAATGACTGGCACTTGACACCCCAGGGCCCCCACCAGAGAACTGTCGCAACTTGCCTCCTGGTGATGATTCTCCTACAAAATCAAGAAATTTGAAGGCAAAGGAAACAAAGGAAACTCATCCTTTGATCATCTTTGAACATCGAAGGTTTTCCACGTTTTTGAACTTGGAAGGAGAACGAAATGAGCACATAGAAAGAAAATAGCATTCCAAACAGCATGAGATGTGCCTACATTTCCCAACGTTCAAAGTCAACGCCGGATTTCCACGAGTGTGTCTCCTCCTCTTGATGAAGATGCTCCGCTATATGGCCTGAGCGAGCATCTCAGTGTTTCCCATGTTTTGGGAATGAACGATTCAATCTGAGCGCCCAAACCCCGTGTCACTTGGTTGTACGGGCTTATCTCACTATGCTTCATTCACACTATTTTCTCTCTGAAAATCATAGTGATCTAGCGTCGCCTGCAAGCACCATGCTGATCGCCAGTAAATGGACCTCCAGATGGCAGATGGAAATAAAACCTGGCAAATGAACCCAAATTCCTCTGGATATGATGTATCAGTGAGCGCTGGGCCTTGGGTGTGTTGATGCTGTGCAAGATCTTGTGCATTCTGCTGCTGGCATGGCTGGCCTTTCCAGTGCGGCGCAGGCGGAAAAATCAGCTGGATGCAGTCAGTGACTGGAGCAGCGCACCTCCAGCAACCATTCCAACGCATAGCCCAGGAGACCCAAATACCTCACTTCAGCATCCAATTTCCGGGGAAGACGTTTCAAATTCAACTCATGACCAAAGTGGAGCTCTTTGAAACTGCTGGGATGGGTAAACTGTTTTCAACTGTGGATTGGTTTGAGGAAACTCTGATTTCTAACCCGGGCTTCTGCGAAATATCCACTCAAAACAAGTCAGCGCTCCTTAGGCGAGCAAGGATTTTCACCACCGCCACCCACAATGCTCCCAGACTGGAGGTCTGTGCCTGCACCCAAGCAGTCAATGTATCACTGGGCACGGGATCACAATTCAATGGATCATGCAGGATACGATGCGTATACACTTCTTTTTGTGGAAATATATCATATTGCGCATATAATATACATATACATATACATCTATATATATATATACATACATACATATGTATTCTGTATACTCATATGGAGAAATGGATAGATGGATGGATGGATGGATGGATGGATAGATGGATAGATAGATAGATGGATAGATAGGCAGATCGACTGATGGACAGATGAATAGATGAATAGATAGATGGATAGATGGATAGATAGATGGATAGATGGATAGATGGATAGATAGATGGATAGATGGATAGACCGATGGATAGATGGATAGATGGATAGCTGCATAGCTGGATAGGTAGGTAGGTAGATAGGTAGATAGGATGAGAAGATAGGATGAGAAGAGAAGAGATAAGATCAGATACATCAGGTAAAATCAGACAAAATCAAAAAAGTCAGAGAAGATCAAATAAGATCAATAGATCGATTGATTGATACATTGATAGACTGATCATGACTGATCCATGTTGAATCCCATGGTCTTCGGCGTGAGGATTTCACAGCCAGCCTTGGAAACTGCTTGCCCCGTCATCTCTCAGTGCCGTCCTCCAGCGATCTGTGGGTCTTTTCTGAAGCAAAATGGCTGTCAGGTCATTCAAGCTCCGCACAGCGCTGGTAAAAAGCGATACTTTCCAGAACAAAACATTCACTCTGCCACTGCTAAAATCATGGTTGATCGTTCTTCCATTGCAAACACCTGCAGACATCAAAAGGCCACTGTGACACTTGGAATTGCCGCCTTTTTCAATGCACTGTCTGTGATTCCTGCTTGGAAAAATAAGGGACAGCAGCTACTGTCACCAGAATACCCCGCATGAGCACATGCGGCCAAAATGTAGTTGGAACAAAAAACAAGGCAGCGAGAACTCACTTGTCATCCAATGCGGCCACACCAGGCAGCACCTTGCCTTCCAAGAGCTCCAGGGAAGCACCTCCACCAGTGCTGCAGTGGGAGACCTTGTCAACGGTCTTGTAGACCTTGCAGGCTGTGGCGGTGTCGCCTCCGCCAATCACAGACACTGCTCCCTCCTCAGTGACCTTCACAATGGTCTCCATCATCTGCTTGGTGCCCTTCTCGAAAGAGGCCATCTCGAAGACACCCATTGGGCCGTTCCACACAATTGTCTTGGCCTTCTTGATGGCCTCGTCGTTCATTGCAATGGACTTGGGACCAATGTCCAAGCCCAAAAAGCCGTCTGGGACACCTGTCTCCATGTCGCCGTCCTTGATTTCGCCATCCTCTCCAAACTTGGAAGAGCACACAAAGTCCACTGGCAGGATCAACTCAACACCCTTCTCCTCTGCCTTCTTCTTGATGTCTGGCACCAACTTGGCTCCCTCCTCATCATAGAGGGAGGCGCCAATGTTGACACCAGCCTCCTTGATGAAAGTGAAGGCCATGCCACCACCAATGATCATAATGTCCACCTTGTCCAGCAAGTTCATGATCAGCTGAATCTTGTCAGCTACCTTGGCTCCGCCAAGGATGCCGCACACAGGCCTGGTGGGAGAGTCCACAACCTTGGCAAAGTAGTCAAGCTCCTTGGCAAGGAGGAAACCAGAGCACTTGACTGGGAAGCCTTCTCCGACCATGGAGCTGTGTGCTCGGTGTGCAGTGCCAAAGGCATCGCTGCAGTAGATGTCAGCCGCTTGGCAAGGGAAGCACGGAACTCCTTCACCTTCTCTGGATCTGCCTTCACCTTGTTACCATCAGCATCCTTGCCCTTGCCCTCCTCCTCGACATAGAAGCGAGAGTTCTCCAGGAGGATCACGGTGCCTGGCTCGGGGTCAGCGCATGCTTCCTCAACCTCGGGGCCAACCACATCATGCATCAGCTTCACTGGCTTGCCCAGCTTCTCCTCAACCACCTTTGCAACTGGCTTCATGGAGAACTTCTCGTTCTTCTGACCATCTGGACGGCCGAGGTGAGAGCACAAAACCACAGACTTGGCACCCTTCTCAAGGGCATACTTGATGGTAGGCAGTGAAGCATCAATTCGTGCCGTGTTGGTGATGATGTTGGGGTCCTTCTTGTCCTGAGGCACGTTGAAATCCACACGGATGAAGATTCGCTGATCCTTCAGATCAATGTCTTCAATGCTCTTCTTGGCCAAAGCTTTGCAAGCAACCACGTTCTGGGCAGCCTTTGGCTGAACACCCTTGCGGCGAGAGGCTGCTGCTGCTCCTCGGATGGCAGCCACGCTGAGTCCTCCAACTGCCAAGGCACCGCTCAGGCCCTGCACTGCGGAGGAGCTGCTGGAAGGGGCTGATGAAGAGAGGAATTTCTGGCTTGCAGCAGTTGCCTTGTTCTCGACTTCAACTAGTCGACTTCCTGGGGCCACAAAGGACAAACCACCCAGGGTGGCTGCTCCCAGCACGGAGCCAACAGCAACCTTCGAGGCGCGTGCCATGACTTCGGGACAGCAGTTCAACTACAGCACGGTTCTCGCAAAAATGCTGCGGGACAAGTGCACCAAATGCTGATATTGATGCTCCGTTCACCTAGTGTTTCTCATGCCAACCACACCTCTCAATATTGATTCCATCCCCTGCATCTTGGAAAAATGACAAAGTTGCTTTTGCACATGTATCTTCCTGATCAAAATATCCCAGACATGTGTAGTATATTATTGTATCTCCAGCGTGTGTGTGCAATTGTGTGTGGGTGTGTGTGTGTGTGTGTGTGCGTTTCTGTCAAAATCAAGGCACATCCAGAAACATGTGCTGTCTCTCGCACATTCAATGCTTTTTCTGCAAGTGCTGTATGGGAAAAATTGATTGTGGCAAGAGTCATTCAAGAAAATACCGCATGAATGCTAGGCCAGTTGCCAATGTATTCAACGCGATCAAGAAACTGAACACTGTAACATTCTAGTCAATCTATCTACTTCCCTCACTTGTCATCCAATGCGGCCACACCAGGCAGCACCTTGCCTTCCAAGAGCTCCAGGGAAGCACCTCCACCAGTGCTGCAGTGGGAGACCTTGTCAACGGTCTTGTAGACCTTGCAGGCTGTGGCGGTGTCGCCTCCGCCAATCACAGACACTGCTCCCTCCTCAGTGACCTTCACAATGGTCTCCATCATCTGCTTGGTGCCCTTCTCGAAAGAGGCCATCTCGAAGACACCCATTGGGCCGTTCCACACAATTGTCTTGGCCTTCTTGATGGCCTCGTCGTTCATTGCAATGGACTTGGGACCAATGTCCAAGCCCAAAAAGCCGTCTGGGACACCTGTCTCCATGTCGCCGTCCTTGATTTCGCCATCCTCTCCAAACTTGGAAGAGCACACAAAGTCCACTGGCAGGATCAACTCAACACCCTTCTCCTCTGCCTTCTTCTTGATGTCTGGCACCAACTTGGCTCCCTCCTCATCATAGAGGGAGGCGCCAATGTTAACACCAGCCTCCTTGATGAAAGTGAAGGCCATGCCACCACCAATGATCATGATGTCCACCTTGTCCAGCAAGTTCATGATCAGCTGAATCTTGTCAGCCACCTTGGCTCCGCCAAGGATGCCGCACACAGGCCTGGTGGGAGAGTCCACAACCTTGGCAAAGTAGTCAAGCTCCTTGGCAAGGAGGAAACCAGAGCACTTGACTGGGAAGCCTTCTCCGACCATGGAGCTGTGTGCTCGGTGTGCAGTGCCAAAGGCATCGCTGCAGATGATGTCAGCCAGCTTGGCAAGGGAAGCACGGAACTCCTTCACCTTCTCTGGATCTGCCTTCACCTTGTTACCATCAGCATCCTTGCCCTTGCCCTCCTCCTCGACATAGAAGCGAGAGTTCTCCAGGAGGATCACGGTGCCTGGCTCGGGGTCAGCGCATGCTTCCTCAACCTCGGGGCCAACCACATCATGCATCAGCTTCACTGGCTTGCCCAGCTTCTCCTCAACCACCTTTGCAACTGGCTTCATGGAGAACTTCTCGTTCTTCTGACCATCTGGACGGCCGAGGTGAGAGCACAAAACCACAGACTTGGCACCCTTCTCAAGGGCATACTTGATGGTAGGCAGTGCAGCATCAATTCGTGCCGTGTTGGTGATGATGTTGGGGTCCTTCTTGTCCTGAGGCACGTTGAAATCCACACGGATGAAGATTCGCTGATCCTTCAGATCAATGTCTTCAATGCTCTTCTTGGCCAAAGCTTTGCAAGCAACCACGTTCTGGGCAGCCTTTGGCTGAACACCCTTGCGGCGAGAGGCTGCTGCTGCTCCTCGGATGGCAGCCACGCTGAGTCCTCCAACTGCCAAGGCACCGCTCAGGCCCTGCACTGCGGAGGAGCTGCTGGAAGGGGCTGATGAAGAGAGGAATTTCTGGCTTGCAGCAGTTGCCTTGTTCTCGACTTCAACTAGTCGACTTCCTGGGGCCACAAAGGACAAACCACCCAGGGTGGCTGCTCCCAGCACGGAGCCAACAGCAACCTTCGAGGCGCGTGCCATGACTTCGGGACAGCAGTTCAACTACAGCACGGTTCTCGCAAAAATGCTGCGGGACAAGTGCACCAAATGCTGATGTTGATGCTGCGTGCACCTAGTGTTTCTCATGCCAACCACACCTCTCAATATTGATTCCATCCCCTGCATCTTGGAAAAATGACAAAGTTGCTTTTGCACATGTATCTTGCTGATCAAAATATCCCAGACATGTGTAGTATATTATTGTATCTCCAGCGTGTGTGCGCAATTGTGTCTGGGTGTGGGTGTGTGTGTGTGCGTTTCTGTCAAAATCAAGGCACATCCAGAAACATGTGCTGTCTCTCGCACATTCAATGCTTTTTCTGCAAATGCTGTATGGGAAAAATTGATTGTGGCAAGAGTCATTCAAGAAAATACCGCATGAATGCTAGGCCAGTTGCCAATGTATTCAACGCGATCAAAAACTGAACACTGTAACATTCTAGTCAATCTATCTACTTCCCTCACTTGTCATCCAATGCGGCCACACCAGGCAGCACCTTGCCTTCCAAGAGCTCCAGGGAAGCACCTCCACCAGTGCTGCAGTGAGAGACCTTGTCAACGGTCTTGTAGACCTTGCAGGCTGTGGCGGTGTCGCCTCCGCCAATCACAGACACTGCTCCCTCCTCAGTGACCTTCACAATGGTCTCCATCATCTGCTTGGTGCCCTTCTCGAAAGAGGCCATCTCGAAGACACCCATTGGGCCGTTCCACACAATTGTCTTGGCCTTCTTGATGGCCTCGTCGTTCATTGCAATGGACTTGGGACCAATGTCCAAGCCCAAAAAGCCGTCTGGGACACCTGTCTCCATGTCGCCGTCCTTGATTTCGCCATCCTCTCCAAACTTGGAAGAGCACACAAAGTCCACTGGCAGGATCAACTCAACACCCTTCTCCTCTGCCTTCTTCTTGATGTCTGGCACCAACTTGGCTCCCTCCTCATCATAGAGGGAGGCGCCAATGTTAACACCAGCCTCCTTGATGAAAGTGAAGGCCATGCCACCACCAATGATCATGATGTCCACCTTGTCCAGCAAGTTCATGATCAGCTGAATCTTGTCAGCCACCTTGGCTCCGCCAAGGATGCCGCACACAGGCCTGGTGGGAGAGTCCACAACCTTGGCAAAGTAGTCAAGCTCCTTGGCAAGGAGGAAACCAGAGCACTTGACTGGGAAGCCTTCTCCGACCATGGAGCTGTGTGCTCGGTGTGCAGTGCCAAAGGCATCGCTGCAGTAGATGTCAGCCAGCTTGGCAAGGGAAGCACGGAACTCCTTCACCTTCTCTGGATCTGCCTTCACCTTGTTACCATCAGCATCCTTGCCCTTGCCCTCCTCCTCGACATAGAAGCGAGAGTTCTCCAGGAGGATCACGGTGCCTGGCTCGGGGTCAGCGCATGCTTCCTCAACCTCGGGGCCAACCACATCATGCATCAGCTTCACTGGCTTGCCCAGCTTCTCCTCAACCACCTTTGCAACTGGCTTCATGGAGAACTTCTCGTTCTTCTGACCATCTGGACGGCCGAGGTGAGAGCACAAAACCACAGACTTGGCACCCTTCTCAAGGGCATACTTGATGGTAGGCAGTGCAGCATCAATTCGTGCCGTGTTGGTGATGATGTTGGGGTCCTTCTTGTCCTGAGGCACGTTGAAATCCACACGGATGAAGATTCGCTGATCCTTCAGATCAATGTCTTCAATGCTCTTCTTGGCCAAAGCTTTGCAAGCAACCACGTTCTGGGCAGCCTTTGGCTGAACACCCTTGCGGCGAGAGGCTGCTGCTGCTCCTCGGATGGCAGCCACGCTGAGTCCTCCAACTGCCAAGGCACCGCTCAGGCCCTGCACTGCGGAGGAGCTGCTGGAAGGGGCTGATGAAGAGAGGAATTTCTGGCTTGCAGCAGTTGCCTTGTTCTCGACTTCAACTAGTCGACTTCCTGGGGCCACAAAGGACAAACCACCCAGGGTGGCTGCTCCCAGCACGGAGCCAACAGCAACCTTCGAGGCGCGTGCCATGACTTCGGGACAGCAGTTCAACAACAGCACGGTTCTCGCAAAAATGCTGCGGGACAAGTGCACCAAATGCTGTCAGAGACCCTGAATCAATACTGGTATGTTTTGCAAGCACTGCCTTTCTCATTGTTGTGGGATCTCTATTTTTCTCATTTCTGTTGGTTTCATTGAGGGCCTGCATTGTATATGTCTACTAGCACAAGCACCCTTTCTTTCAAATAAAGGCTGCTCCTGGCATTTTTTTTTCTTTGTTCGGCTTAGGAATCTCGGAAAAATTCATGGTGGAGACTTTGCCAAGAAATACATGGCATGATTGCTAGGAATTGCTCTAAAGAAACTGCAAATGTATATACAATGATACAAAAATTCTAAAGTCAATCTATCTACTTCCCTCACTTGTCATCCAATGCGGCCACACCAGGCAGCACCTTGCCTTCCAAGAGCTCCAGGGAAGCACCTCCACCAGTGCTGCAGTGAGAGACCTTGTCAACGGTCTTGTAGACCTTGCAGGCTGTGGCGGTGTCGCCTCCGCCAATCACAGACACTGCTCCCTCCTCAGTGACCTTCACAATGGTCTCCATCATCTGCTTGGTGCCCTTCTCGAAAGAGGCCATCTCGAAGACACCCATTGGGCCGTTCCACACAATTGTCTTGGCCTTCTTGATGGCCTCGTCGTTCATTGCAATGGACTTGGGACCAATGTCCAAGCCCAAAAAGCCGTCTGGGACACCTGTCTCCATGTCGCCGTCCTTGATTTCGCCATCCTCTCCAAACTTGGAAGAGCACACAAAGTCCACTGGCAGGATCAACTCAACACCCTTCTCCTCTGCCTTCTTCTTGATGTCTGGCACCAACTTGGCTCCCTCCTCATCATAGAGGGAGGCGCCAATGTTAACACCAGCCTCCTTGATGAAAGTGAAGGCCATGCCACCACCAATGATCATAATGTCCACCTTGTCCAGCAAGTTCATGATCAGCTGAATCTTGTCAGCCACCTTGGCTCCGCCAAGGATGCCGCACACAGGCCTGGTGGGAGAGTCCACAACCTTGGCAAAGTAGTCAAGCTCCTTGGCAAGGAGGAAACCAGAGCACTTGACTGGGAAGCCTTCTCCGACCATGGAGCTGTGTGCTCGGTGTGCAGTGCCAAAGGCATCGCTGCAGTAGATGTCAGCCAGCTTGGCAAGGGAAGCACGGAACTCCTTCACCTTCTCTGGATCTGCCTTCACCTTGTTACCATCAGCATCCTTGCCCTTGCCCTCCTCCTCGACATAGAAGCGAGAGTTCTCCAGGAGGATCACGGTGCCTGGCTCGGGGTCAGCGCATGCTTCCTCAACCTCGGGGCCAACCACATCATGCATCAGCTTCACTGGCTTGCCCAGCTTCTCCTCAACCACCTTTGCAACTGGCTTCATGGAGAACTTCTCGTTCTTCTGACCATCTGGACGGCCGAGGTGAGAGCACAAAACCACAGACTTGGCACCCTTCTCAAGGGCATACTTGATGGTAGGCAGTGCAGCATCAATTCGTGCCGTGTTGGTGATGATGTTGGGGTCCTTCTTGTCCTGAGGCACGTTGAAATCCACACGGATGAAGATTCGCTGATCCTTCAGATCAATGTCTTCAATGCTCTTCTTGGCCAAAGCTTTGCAAGCAACCACGTTCTGGGCAGCCTTTGGCTGAACACCCTTGCGGCGAGAGGCTGCTGCTGCTCCTCGGATGGCAGCCACGCTGAGTCCTCCAACTGCCAAGGCACCGCTCAGGCCCTGCACTGCGGAGGAGCTGCTGGAAGGGGCTGATGAAGAGAGGAATTTCTGGCTTGCAGCAGTTGCCTTGTTCTCGACTTCAACTAGTCGACTTCCTGGGGCCACAAAGGACAAACCACCCAGGGTGGCTGCTCCCAGCACGGAGCCAACAGCAACCTTCGAGGCGCGTGCCATGACTTCGGGACAGCAGTTCAACTACAGCACGGTTCTCGCAAAAATGCTGGCAGAAAACATCAAGCACCATCTAGCCATGAAGGCTCTGATATTTTCACGGGTCATGACTGCACATGATTCAAGCCTCCATCCAAAACAGTGCCATTGGTGCGTATTGTCTTCACCAATATTCAATATTGACAAGGAAACTTACTCTAAGCTTGCACCATGCTCCGAATCTTTGCCGTATGCAGCCTGTACGAAGTTTTTGATGCTAGCAACAAAATGCTCGCAAGGCAGGGTCTAACCAGCGGTTTCTTGAGCAAGCTGTTGGCTCAACACTGGTTGCAGAGTGCTAAAGTCATCATTAATCTATTCCTAGGGTCAAAAATTTCAGGAAATCGTGCCATCAAATCAAACCTTTTAATGGCGTTTGTGACAAGGCTACTACAGTTTTCTTAGTGCTTCAAATGGCATTTCCACTTCCAGTTGTCCAGCTCAGGGTCAGCCAGCTGCACCATCTTCGTCAGGTTTTGCCTGGCTCAACTTCCGGCTCAAAATCAAAGTCCTCCAAATTGGGATAAGTTGGGTACCTTTCCAATGGTATAGTCCTGGCTATCCGAGTCTGTCCTGAGCATTTCTGGGATCTTGCTAGGAACTCTAAGTTCTGCTCCTTTCCACCTGTGGTGAATCCCCACCTGTGTGGCTGCACTCGCTGCACCCTCTGCTTGGTATGCATTGGACTTGTGCTTTGGAACCTCGGTCCATGGCCCAAAATCCAGACTGTCCAGCCCCATTTTTTTCATTCCTGAGGCGTTCACGAAGGAAAAGCCATCTGGAACCTGGAGTGGGGTCCCAAGTCAATGCTGCAACTGCCCACATCTCACTTTCTGAAATTGCAGAGGAAGTTCTCTTCAGAGTGTCTACAAAGTTCTAGAAAATTCCCCAAGAAAAGCGGGACCAAGAAATTCGAAAAAGTCTCTGTTTCCGCACCTTGCCCAACATCATCTCTGTGATCTCGACCCAGTCCTGCCGCAGTGAGTGCAACACACCAAGCCCAATTTCTGGAAAATTCCGGCCCTTCCAAGTGGAAAAGTGCTGATGACATGCTGTGGCCAGTTCTCAACATTGCATCTGGGACTTCCTTCAGTGGCTCAACAGATAGATAACTGTTGCCATCACGCTATGAAAAGACTGACTGCCGTCCTAAGGTTGACGAAAACCAGAGGGTACCAACCACAAAAGCATTCTTTGGGTCTTGAGTGATAGCTATCATCGACACCTTCCCCCTAGTCATCCTTGGAATTGGTCGAGGCAAGTTTGGTTTCCAAGTCACTTCGACCAACATAAGGTCGCGGACGCCAGTTGATTTTGGCCTCCTGTACCTGCCGCTTTCAGTTCCAGGTGGTGCAGAAATGCGATTCCCAGGTCCCCCTAACTCCAAAGAGTTTTAGCAATCACAGTTTGAATGGCTGTTTGAATGTAAACATACCCTAGAGTTTCACAGCTTTCACAGCTTTCACAGCTTTCACAGCTTCACAATCTGTTTCAACGGGAGGAAAACTGCAACAGCATCCCAGTTGATCCATCCTCGAGGAGTCCCACTGGAACATAACCTCGGCAGGGAACAAAAACCACCATCACCTGATTCGGTTGACACACTCATATCTCATCATTTTAAGGAAGTTCAAGGCCTAATTGTTTGGGAAGTCTGACCACGCAAAACAGGTCGGTAATGGTCTGTAGCAGATGTATCAGTCCATAATCTGTTTGACCAGTGGATAATCAAGATCCCCCATTTAGCTTTGTCCCAAAAATTACATATAAATCCACCATAGGTCAATCCTCATTTTCCCTACGATTCCCCACGGTTAAACAGCCACTTTGATGTAAAGGCATCGCTGGGTCGCCCGGACGACAGTGGAAGGAGAGCCATTCCAACAGAAAGCGCCGAGTCGTCTCAACTCCTCGAGGATCCGCTCCCCAATGCCTTGGCTATCCCAAATCTTGCTCAACTCAAGACTCTGAATGATTGCAGAACCACTTTCTGAAAACGAACTTCTAATTGATTCCTGAAGCCTCATTGGCATTGGGGTTCGACTGAAAATAGGGCCCAAGTTTCATAAGTTTACCTCTGGTTCCCCATTGTTTCATGGATTCATGGTCATAAAATTGGGGCTTTATCGGCTTAATCGGCTTAATCCCATCCGACCCCAGTCATCCCCCTACTGTAGTCATCCACCTGAGCAGCCGGGCTCAAGGCCATAGCGGGTGAAGTCTCGAATGAGATCCAATCGCTCACTGGCGGAAATGTCCCAGTGCCTCTTTTCTTTGATCTCCTAGGGCCGGAGATCGCGAGAGCACCCTGAAGCAGCTGGAGAATCCACCATTTTAAATCTCTATTCTGGACTCGAAACAGGTGGATTCCACTTCGATGGCCCGAGGGTCAGTGATGCGAACTTGTTATAGTACAGTCCTATAGTGGCTTGCTATTAAAGCCAGCTGGAATCGAACTGTCCAAAGGCAAAGCCACGCCAAATAGCCACAGCAAGAAAGATCTGATTGCTGTAAAATGTGAAGTCTCCCTGAGACTGCAACTGGTGAGGCAACACATGAGGCAATACATTTCGGTACACTAGACGCTGCATGCCAACTCCCGAACTCGTTCAACCAAAATCTCTCAAGATCAGCCCTTTGAACTTTTGAACCTCCCTGCACTCGTTGGATCAAAGCTTCTGTAAAGAGCCAAGGTTTGATGAGGGCACCCCGTCCCACCATGACAGAGTCCACACCATGAGTCGCACCTTGGTGAGGTGGGTACCACGGTCTCACCACTTAACTTACGTCTTAGTTAAGTTTGGGATGTTGCGACAAATGTCCAAAAATTCCTGGAGATGTTGCAACAGATCTTCCATGAGTACGGCTATCAGGGGGAATGATCTTTCTATCCTCTATGCCAGTTTCAGATCTTTCCACCCAACCACCAGGTTTCACCAGGCAACAATGCTGTTCGACTTCTTCCCAGTTCATGGCATCGCCACATCCTGCCACTTCGACAAATGGTGGTCTGCAAAAACAAGGGGTCCCCATGGAAAATCGGAGGAAAATCTGATCAACTTAAAGACCACCAGAATGTGGTGAGCCGAGCCACCTCTGATTTCTTGGATTTCTCATTCCAAAATGTATGTTAGATTTCAGACCATGACTATCTAGGCAGCATTTTCCAAAATTGAGACCCTCAGATCCAAAATGAACGCTCTAATGATCCCCAAAGGTCAGCACAAAAAAATAAAGTTTCTGCTTGAAACTGATATTGGCCATCACCAGCCTGATCAACACTAACCACACAACATTAACATTGAAGAGTCTCAGCCCTAATCACAGAATGCTACAGCAAAGGTATGCAGATTGAACACCCAACAACGAGGTCAATTTCCAGCTACGCAAAAACCTAGTTCCGAGACGTTTTTGGAAGATCTACCTACCCAAACAAGTAGACTTGCCCTCCACGGGTTGGAAATGAGCAAATACTGAAGCCTATGAAAGGAGTTGGGCACTTTCTTCGGCCACTGCACCTCAGCTTCAGAGAAGTTTAGCTTCGGCCATAGTTTTTGTGGAAGTCATAGGAAAGAAACATCTTAAATATTAGCGGTGTTTTTTGGGGTGCGATGTTCATCATTCATAGCAAGAAATCCCCAATAAGTTGGAGAATCATGTCCAATGAAAAGCCGTCATGTGGGGTGAAGTCGATCATTTTGACCCATACCGTCCAGTACGGTCCATACCCACACTTTAGAGCCAGAAATCACCAGAAATGTTCCATCGAAAGCTGCCTGCGACATGGTCACATGTCCCGTTCTCTTACACCAATCGAGCCCAAAAAGATCCAAAAAGTATGAAAGTCACGAATGATGGATCAGCATCCTGATACAAAAATTGAAGCCATCCAGATAAATCCAGATATATAAATCCAGAAAATCCCTGGCCAAGGTGCTCCTTGATGTAATCCCAATCCGCCAGTTTGGTATAGCGCTGTCGTGCAGTTCGACCGTGCAAGACCAAGGCGCTGACACCCCAGCCCTGGCACGAGCCCCGTTATTTGGTGGATGATCTTTGATGGTAACCACCATTTAAAATTTATGGGGATATTTACCATTGAATTGGAAATATCATAAATTGAATAAATTTTGGATTTGGGAGACCCCATTGTCAGACAAACCCATGTCTAGACAGCATGCCGAACTGTGTCTCTGGCTTGAATTCCATGATGCCATGCCCTTCTTCCTGCGTTTTTTTTTCAAAGACACACATCTAATCTAGTAGATAGTCTCATGGTTGGCTGGCTCAGTGCTAGCACCGAAAGAAATAGAAATCATTGAGGCTCTACTCAGATTGCGGCGCCTGGGACCAGCTCAAAATCATGGGTAAATTTGGACTTTTTCCCAAAAGTGAGCTGCAAAAATGGCACCCCCCGCACTCCTCCAGCTTGGGCACCAAGTTGTGAGCATAGCGGCCATTGAAATCCTTCAGCCTGTTATCCTGCACCCACAATGGAGCAAGCTTGGCCTGCAACATCTACATTGCCGCTAAAACTGCAAAGCTCCAAATGTACTGTCACTGGGCTACGATGTTTCCCTCTTGCCTCCATGTGAGCTGTGCGCATTTTCAATGTCAGGGCTTTTGTCTTCAAAACACCTGACCTCAGATACAATCCTCACGGTCCACCTACTCTCTGTGCAAGAGGTAGAGGTAGTCAAACTAGTACCGCATATCTTTCCAGGCTGAACCATTTTTCCAGCTGAACCCACTTTCCAGCTTTTCTTCCAGACAACACTGATAGGTGGCAATGTCAAGGAAATCCCGAAAACACTGACACACCTGACAGCACCACAATCTGCACCCTGCTTGAATTGGGATTGCTATCTATCTATCTATCTATCTAATCTAATCTAATCTACTGCAATCTAATCTAATCTAATCTAGTCTAATCTAATCTAATCTAATATAATAAATCTAATATAATACATCTAATCTATCTATCTCTCTATCTCTCTATCTCTCTATCTCTCTATCTCTCCATCTCTCTGTCTCGATCTGAATGTGTATGTGCAGTCACATCCATGCAGCTGAGCAGCATGCATCTCACTATGCCTTCCAAATGGCCAGCCTTCGCCATGAGCCTCGAGCCAGCACCTCGCCGATGCACCTGCTGCGTAACGATGAGTGAACGATCTTCTACAATGCCACAAGAATGTAAGTTGTTCATCCATGAATCTATGAGAGGTATCTGCCCCAAATGCGATATGTCTGATGAGTATTCATATTTCAACACAAGCTCACACACTCTAATTCGTTGCAGCTCTGGAGAACACATGGAGGAATGCTAAGTGGTGAATGCGCCGCCTCATCGAGCGGACATCCGCAATTGATGTCCACGAAATCACAGTCAACATTCTCATCAATAAATTGTGCCGCCTGAGATTGGATTTGAGGCACCTCCCTGTTCCAAAAAAACTGGTCCATGTACAAAAATAGGCAGCTGCTCATGATTGGGCGGTTCTCAAACTGTTGGACACAGCAAGGTTTGCAAGGTTTCTAAATGCCATGCCGCTTCATTGGATAAGAGATCGGAGAAAAAGGCGGGTCCCTTGCAAGTCCAGGAACTGTCCCAGCTAAAGCCCAAGCCAAGATCAAGTCATCCATAAGTGAATTTTGAGATGCACAGGGTGCCCATGTCAGCCAAAGCGCTTTGGACATCATGGCCACATCGCCACCTGCGATTTGGACCCCAAAGATCTTTTCGGACTCGTGCCGTCGCAGGAGCGCCAGTTCACTCTGATAACCTCGGATGGGCCAAGTGGCCAAAGTGAGACACATCGAAAGTTGCTGAGTCCCTGGCCATCAACAATTGACATGGATAAGGCCATTTCACCAACAGTCACCTGCAGGCACGATTCGAACGAAATCTTCCCACCCAGCTGTGACTCAGCCGGACTTAAAAAATATGCTCCTAGAAATGAAACCTCGGTGTTTTATCGTTTGTCCAAAACAGGTGATTTTACACCGACACGAAGCTATCTGTTTTTGAATCTACCATCAAATCAAAATCCATTGGATCATGGCCAAGGGGGTTCTCATCATCATAGATTTGATTTGTACATTATGTGTGTTTTTCGACATATATATATATATGTATATATATATATATGTATATATATATATATGTATATATATATATGTATATATATATATGTATATGGCTCAGCGTCGGCCAGCCCCCCCACCAATGGGGATGGCTTATGGTTCCCCCCCACTGTGGCCTGTGGTGGTGTGGTGTTTGGGATGTTAGTGATGGATGTCCAGTCTTGCTTCTTATGGTTCCCCCCTCCCCCCCTGTGGCCTGTGGTGGTGGGGTGTTTGGTATGTCTGTCTGTCTGTCTGTCTGTCTGTCTGTCAGTATGTATGTATGTATGTATGTATGTATGTATGTATGTATGTATGTATCTATGTATGTATGTATGTATGTACGTCTGTATGTCTGTCTGTCTGTCTGTCTGTCTGTATGTATGTATGCATGTATATAGGTAGGTAGGTAGGTAGGTAGGTACACATTTCTTTGGTTGCAACCCCAGTGTGGCTGAATATTTTTCCATGGGACACACCCCCTGAACTTTGAAAATACCAAAGTTGGGCCCGAATGAATTTCCTAGAGGGAAAATATCTTCGGGCACATGGTCAGGAAAAAAATCTTGCCAGCACGAACCCGGTTCCTTTTACGTACGATGCCTACCTCAGTCTCGGGGTCTTCCTACCTCGTTTTACAATTTAACTATATCCGTCCACCCACCCATCCATCCGTCCGCGCGGGTTTGCGGCGGCACAGTCATCTGCACCGTGTCCTCCTCCTGCCGGATTGGTTGGTAATGTCAGCATATGTCAGCATTGAACTGTCACTGCAGAGATCAGGGCTCCTGTGGCGGAGGAGGAGCCACAGGCGCAGATGACGAGGATGCCGACGAAGGAGGTGGTGGCAGTTTCTCCTCCAACAGATTTAAGAGCGAGGAAGTGACATGACCCGACAAAGGCTAGGAGTATACTAGGAGTAGGAGTTGAAGTGCGCCTGCCTTCCCGCTAACCACGCGTTCCGCGAAGAGACACTGGCTAAAGAAGCTCTTGTCCTGCGCTATATGCAATGGCAAAGTGGGCGGGTGATCGGTTCTAAAAAGGTTTCTACCATTTTCCACACAATTTTGATTACACGCGTCCTTCACGCATGGGTGGTTAAGAGCTGCTTTGCGGAGCTCTCAATCCGCTTGTTGCTTGGCCTTCGCCTCCAAATCCATTCAGATCCATGGGAATTTCAGGATCCTAAAATGGAGGTACTGTGTCATATAAGGCCACATTTTGTGGGTTCCTTCTGCCTGCCTTGGCCTTTTTCTCGGCTACTCTGACATTGCCCGACCTCCAACCAGGACAACGCGTTATATAGTGTCTGTGGCCACTGTTGGAAGTTGCGATGTCGAAAAAGTGCACGCCGTTGTGGCGCGAAGCACATTTCCAAGTCAAAATGTACAAAGCACACCATGGTCGGACCTCTTTTAGAAGTTGAGATGTCGAAAAAGTGCACGCCGTTGTGGCGCGAAGATACGCGAAGCACATTTCGCAGTCAAAATGTTAAAAACACCAGGGGTTCGGACCACTTTTTGACGTTCAGATGTCGTTTTGCGTGGCAGGCGCAAGGGATTGCGCACCTTCTCAAAAGTGAGCAAAACGTGATGGTTTTGTGATGGCAGGCGTGGGACTTTTGAAGCAAGCCTTTGGATACCCGCAGCTTCCGGACCCCCTAAGCCTTAGCGCCCGGCCGCAAACTCGCGAACTGACCTGCCAACCACCGTCAGAATCTAAGATTTGAGCGTTATCTTCTCTCTTGGGCTTTCCTCTTCTCTCTGACTCTTCCCATCTCTGCTTGTCATCTGTCCATATTGTCGGAAGTTTGACTTCAAAACTTCTGTCGACTACAGCACATACATTACCTACATCATCAACATCATCATCATCATCAACATCACTACATCCTCTACATCACCCACATCACCTACATATTCTGCACCATCTTCACTACATCATCATTATCATCATCATCGCCACCACGGTCGTCATCATCATCATCATCATCAATCTCACCTGCACCATCTACATTGCCGACACAATCTTTTTCCATCTGTGTGCACCTGCGTCTTGCCTGCTCTGTTACCGGCTCGCGCCATCCCTTCTCCTACTCTGCTACCCGCACGGCTATCCCTCCACCAAGTCTTGCACCAGGTCACTTCAGTGGATTCCTTGTTTCAATTGCAACGGGCCGCCTGCCACGCAAAAGCGGCGGAGACCAAGGGACACCAGAGGGACGCCAGAGGGACGCCAGGGCGTACATCCGACCCCTTAGCAATGGACATTGTCCCACGCCTGCCACGCAAAAGCGGCAGAGACCAAGGGACACCAGTGGGACACCAGAGGGACGCCAGAGGGACGCCAGGGCGTACATCCGACCCCTTGGCAATGGACATTGCCCCACGCCTGCCACGCAAAAGCGGCGGAGACCAAGGGACAGCAGAGGGACGCCAGAGGGACGCCAGGGCGTACATCCGACCCCTTAGCAATGGACATTGTCCCACGCCTGCCACGCAAAAGCGGCGGAGACCAAGGGACACCAGAGGGACGCCAGAGGGACGCCAGAGGGACGCCAGGGCGTACATCCGACCCCTTGGCAATGGACATTGCCCCACGCCTGCCACGCAAAAGCGGCGGAGACCAAGCGACACCAGAGGGACGCCAGAGGGACGCCAGAGGGACGCCAGGG